AGATACAGAACTCACCTTTAATTTAAATCCCCCAAACCCACAAGGCTATCTTTGTTAATCTTTGGGGTTTGGGGTTTTTTTTTGCTTTTTTGGATTATTTAAAAGCTATTACTTAGTTAAGACGAAACAGTTTTTGACAACGGTGGAGCTCCCAGTGTCATCTCCACCTCCACTCTAACTACTGGCATAAATAGGAAAAATGGACTTTGACCATGTGTTTTTTAAATCCATTTTTCTTGTGAACACTATCATCCGTGAACTTTTAGGATTTCTCTGCTTATTGTATGTTTTACTGTCTGACAGTACTTTTTCCTGAATTTTTCTTAATACTATGCTAGTTTTCTTAAACAAGTCTTGTTCCTAATCTATGTCTTGCTATGTTCTGGTTCTTCTTCATTAGGTTTCTGTATGTATTGCCTCCTGTAGGTTGAAAATGCCTAATTTCTTTTCCTCACAGTAGTTGAAAAAACAAAAGTTTATTTCATGGATAGATTTAATGTCCCTCAGTCTGTCCCATTCATTGCAAACAAGTGGGAGATTAAACTAAAGATATTTTAGCTTCCCAGAGAAGGGAAATCTGATGAAAAACATATAGTAGTGATTCATAGTGAGAATGTACTAGGCTGCCAGCAACTCAAGCTATTTCAGTGTGGATTTTTTTTAGCACACAAAATTGACATACTGTATCTCTTCAAATTGAATGAGATGCTCATAATTGTTAAATGAAATGCAGCCATCTTAACTGTATTGAAAGGTCAAAGCTAGGGCTAGGAACATGGTTAATTTTCCAGTATTAAAGGTAGCAATGCCTAAACATGCCATTTTGTGCACCCAGCACTTTAATCTGAAACTCTTAAATGATTTCTACACGCTAGCAAACAGGAATTCTGGAGTAGTGATGTGACTTTCTCACATGAGTAAGATATTGGGATTAAATGACTTGTTGAAGGTCGCTGGGGTAAATCAATAATGAACCTAAAATGCTGATGGGTGGCCGTCTTCTCTCACAACTACAGCTGAGATGGGGTGGTTAAAGTCCACGAGCGTACCCACACGATGTGCAGAATGTCCTCCATCAGCAGCTCCCGGCAGACAGTCTGTGCGAGGTCTCCACACGCTGTCTGGAGTTTCTGCTTTGTAATGAGCATTCATTTGTGGGGAGTAAAATCCGAAATGTCTGGCTGTTGTGGCTGGAAGCTAATTCTTTGTTCACGGAGATCTGTGTTTTAATGCTGTTAATGTTTTCATTTCATTCACTCGTTAGGGCAATAAAAGAGATTGTATTCTTGGCAGACGGACGTAACCCCCGCTGAATGAGAACCTCTGGCAATTTGAACTTTTGCCACTCGACTGCTGAGAGACGGCGGCGGCTACCAGGGCGGCTGTTCCCAGCTGGTACGGGAGGCAAGGCAAACCTGGCAAAGCAAGCAGTCCCTCTTCAGGGTGCTGTTGGGCTGCTGGAGCTGCTCTCTGCACTTCGGGGTGGCTGTTCACACCGGTAGCGATGCCTGTGCCTGACTGCGTAGGTGCAGTTAGGCTTTGGGCGTATGCCTGTGCTACAGCCAGGAGTGGATTACAGTCTGGAAACATACCTAGTTCTACTGTAGAATAAATTAGCTCAGATAAGAATCACACTTGAGACATGATATTGTGGGCTTGTCTCCTGAGTCCTGGCTGCCAAGCTTCTCTGCAGTGGTTGCTCCAGTGTGGTGAGACCACACTACTTGGCTGCACAGTAGGTACAACTTCGGTTGTCGCTGCAGTCTCTTCAGTCACCTGATTCAAGTCATAATCTTGTTTCACGCTCTGCCTGGCTTCCCCTCTTGCACCAGCCTCGTTGCATGTGAGGTCACAGGACCATAGGATAATTCAGGTTGAAGGGACCCCAGGATGTCATCTAGCCCAACCTCCTGCTTAAAGCAGGCACAGCTATAAGGTCAGGCCAGGTTACCTGGGGTTTGCCCAGTGAAACTCTGAGTAGCGAGTTACTAAAGGAATAAAAGCTAATTAAAGCTTTATGAAGCATGTCACAAGCAGGAAAGCTCACAGAGAATGGGAAAGGGGAGGCAAGGGGAAGACTGATGACAGTGCATGTACAAAAGGAGCAGAAAGACAACAGTACAGCAGGAAAACTTTTTTTCCTTGCATCAGCAAGGATCTCAAAGGGGATCTGGCAGGTTTTCATCCAAAAACTATTGTTTGCCTGGTAAGCCTGAGGAACTGTTCAGACTGCTATGACATTGGAAGAGGATTTATTTTTTTTTTTAACTGATGACATGAAGTGTAACTAATGTGAGAGTCACTGGTGTTCTTCCAGCGTGGTGAATATCAAACTGCTCAAGCCTAATTGCAACACAGATGCAACTGCTCTGTTGAGGTCAGTGAAAGGCCCTGACTGATGAAAACTGGTGGGATATACCAGGGAAAGGATGGCTTTGCCATTTTTTCCTGAGCATTTGCTGGGGGCTTCTGCAAGAGACAAGCTCAGAGAGAGGATTGGGAAATAATAAGTGAAAGTTATCTCAGTGTTGGCTCATGGAATTGCCATTGTAGTGCTACGTTCATCAGGCACTTGTGCCTGAAGGCTCCTGCTGTGTCAAAAGCCTCACTGGCTTTACAAATCATGTGCTTTCGTCTCAGTAAATTGAATATGGCATTATCTTAAAATACAAGCTTAAAAATCTGTAGCAGGAACAGTTTTGTTTGTATAATGCCTAAACAGTGGTTCAAATTTTGGATTGAGATTGTATGGGCAAATAATAAAACATCAATAGCTCATGCTGTCTTTTACAGCAAAGACAAAGTAGAGTGGGAGGGAGAATATGTGGAGAATAGGATTGATTATATTGAAGGGAAGAAAGAAGGATTTGCATAGCTTCTGTGTTGGGACTTAATATCCGTGTATATCTGCGAGTAAGGATAATGTAAATGCTCTCCAGGGCTTTTTTTTTTATGCAAGACACTATTCATAGTTAAAGGTATGGAAGGAATCTTTCATATTAAAGCTTCCTGTTCTTTTGATTTACTAAAAATTAAGTAAGGAAAGGAGGATTAAAGAGGAAGGAAAGTCTAAATAGATTTCTGTTTCTGGAGACAGAAACTACAAAAAAGCTTTTCATGCAGGGCATGAATTATGCTTATAAATAAGAAGTACTGTCTTTACAAGTGTTACGTCCCAGAGCTGCTAGGGGAAGAATTTCACATGTAGAGATTTAGCCATATTTGAAGTCTTATTTCCTAACAGGAAAAAAACCCCACTAGTTCCTGAATAAAAAAAAGACTTAAAAAACCAAAAACACTCCCTCCAAAAAAAGCTCCAACCATAATACTAAACTGTTGACAAGTTTGAATGTAATATTTCTTTTATAGTTAATGCATTTAGCTGTTAACTTCATAGATATTGTACTAATTAATAGAAATGTTTATAGTCTATAATGGTTATATCTGCAGAGAAAATAATAAGATTTGTGTGCACTTCCTGCACTGAGATGCTCTTTTAAATCTGATAAATCTGTGTGAATGATACTAATCACAGAATAAAGGACAAGCCCTCCCTCACTTGAAGTTGAATCAAAAACTGGTATTGAGTAATACTGAGATACTAAAGTAAAGTAAGGAACTAGGACAGGAGAACTTTGAAGTTGACTATGGTAAATCATTCATGTATTACCCAATTTTGGAAATTTTTTTTTTTTTCTTGTTTCTGTTTTGTATTTCCTTATGCAAAGTACTTAGTTCCTATGAGATAAAGGTAATTGTTCAAGAGACTCGTCCCAGGTTTGCATGCTACTTGCATAGTTTGCCTGGGACTGAAGATACCAGCCAGCACTGTGGTAGATCTGTAAGCTGCACTGTTGTCTTCATTTCCAGGGGTGGAAATTTAATGTGGTTGCTTAAGTGTCTTGCCTGTATGAAGAAAATAGAGGTTATATGGATTTCTCAAGGACAAATTAATGCCATTCAATTTCTGTCCTGACATAAACAATTTGATTTTCAGCACATACATCTGATTGCTTAGGATTAAGCAATTGCATCTACTCTTTGTATGGAAAAGGTGAAAAAAATATTGCTTGAAGATTAAAGACTGCTGCTCCAGTATTGCTAATTATAACTTGCAAGATTTTAAGAAATTGATGTTCCTTAAGGATTAAACTGTGTGCATTAGAACACTTTTTTCATCATTAACATAACTCTAGATGGACTACTGAAAAAATAAGCCTACTTGCTTTTTTTAGGTTACTTGTAACAAATATATCTTCACGTTGAAACAGGATTATTGACCTAATGAAAATAGTAGCTTTCTGCTTAGATTGGATAGGTAGGTGTAACCTAATTTGACACAATTACTCTTATCCAAAGATATTGTTGACACAACTAAAATTTGCATAGTACTTTTGATTCATGTTCTTCTTTCTCGCTCCTGTTGATCAGAATAGATTTAATCTAAGAAAATTTATTCTGTTTTAATAAACTGGGTTAAAACAGGGATTGAAATTACAAGGATTGTACTGTAAAGATAAAATAGGAAGCAGTGGCATATGACACCCACTCTGAAGGGTGTGGATGGGGGAGAAGGTGCTCCCCAGAAAATTTTACTCCAGGGAGAAAGTATTTGCAGATTGTGAAGCTAAAAACATGGTTACACGTGGTGTTTACAAAGCCTACCAGTGAAGTTGTGTCATCTTTTTGGGCAGGTGGTCTTGGCAGAAGTAGCATGGGCTTGAGCAATGGTTCTTGGATCTGTAAGAGAAGCTAACACCAAAGCAGTTCAAGGGCATAAATTGGTGAGGAATATAGCTGGTCTTGCTCCTGGGGGTGGATGCTCAGCTGAGTTGAGTGAAGCAATGAACAGGTGGTTTAAATTAGGTGAAGCCTTCGTGCTAATTATTTTCAGTTAGTGGAGACAGCTGACACGCAGTTCAGAAGGTCGTGGGTGTAAGGGTAGTGGTGTAAAGGACCTTGGCTGTGTGGAAAACTGTGCAGTTTGAGCCTGGTAGGCTATGGAGCTGTGTGAGGCTGCAAAGAGATTTGGAAATAGAGTTGTGCAGTTAATTGCCTGTGGAGCTGAAGGAAAGCTGGCCAAAGGGTGCAACATGGGGTTGCTAAGGATTAATCTCTGCCACGTAAGTTTGTTTTATCCAAATGCCCCCTCCCTGGAAGTGTTGAAGGCCAGGCTGGATGAGGCTTTGAGCAACCTGGTCTAGTGGAAGGTGTCCCTGCTGATGGCAGGGGGGTTGGAACTGGATGATCCTTAAGGTCCCTTCCAACCCAAACCATTCTATGATTCTAAATTCTGATCTTGATTCTCCTGGGTTTTTTTTACACGTGCAGTGCAGATTACCCTGCGTCTCAGGCTGTGGTGTGTTTGTGTTTTGCTGTGGTGCTCTTGCATTTACTTGTATGCTGAAAACCGTTCATCTCACAAGCGTGTATAGATTTGTTTGTGAAGCTGTTCTTTTTTGAGTGGATTAGAGTCTGAAGTGTCAAAAATTGTTCCTTCCTTCTTCCTCGGGGTTTTTTCTGACAGTTGAAGTAATTGTTCTCCATCTGTCCTTCTGTACTTTACTTCCACAGCAGCTGCTTTGTGGATCTTCTACCTTATGTAGTCGTTTGGCTTTTTGTAGAATAGGGACCTTTTTAGTACAAAAAGAGAAGAACAGAGCACGGGGCTTTAATCTTAAAATGAACCTTTAAACAACAGATCTTGTGATAGGAATACAATGCATAGGAGCAAATTAAAATTAAGGAATTTCAGAATGTGGGGAAATGGCAGGAAACATCTTCTTTATGTGCTTCTTGTATTTATCTTAGGTTTGCCAAAATGAAGAGAAGAACCATTCCACAGAAGAACTTAATAAGTCTGAAATCCAGGAGGAGCTGAAAAAGGCTAATAGCCTTCCTAGTTTGACTCCTGGAGTCAAAACAGCAGATAAAGACAAGCAGCCTCGAGAAGGTTTTTTTCATTTTCTTGGAAGCTTATTTAATATTGCAACAAAATCTTCTTTGGCGGAATCTAAACCCTCTACCTTCCAAGATGAACCCAACAGATGTGAAAAGGATTTACAGAACACAAATACCCTTCCAGAGCATGTGCAGCCAAAGCATCCGAAAACTGAAGAGACTCTGTGTTCTACAGCAAGAATAAAAGAGGATTCTGTAAATAAAGATGATACCATCTTAAATAACATTAGGAAAGATATCTCACAGGATCTGCAGGGAGGCTGGAAACGATCTGCGGATGCACAGAAGTAAGTTTTATAATTTAGTATTAAATACGTTAACGTGTGTGTGTGTGTGTGTGTGCACAGAACTACTCTGACCAAGCTCTGCTGGCTGTATGACAGATGACTGTCATTCCTAAGGATGGTTGGAGTGTCCCTGACTTGACTTTGTGCAAAACTCTAGTAACAACTACCTTAAATAAATGAGAAGTTGACTGCAACAAAATACAACTTTAAATAATGTTTTCTAGGAGTCTCCTGACTGTGGATAGATCTAGTGTAGATCTGTCTTAAGTGTTAAGAGAAGTTAAAGATGTGGGATTTAGAAATAAGTAGAAATAAGTTAAGTATCATAGATCTACTTTAAAAAAAAAAAGTGGCACCAAGCCTGACAAGATTCCAGAAGCATTTGGCCAACATGTGCCCTCAGACACATGGTGTGAATGTTGGGCTTGTCCTGTGCAGGGACAGGAGTTGGACTCCATGATCCTTGTGGGTCCCTTCCCACTCAAAACATTCAGTGATTCTATGATATTTATATCTCCCTGGTTCAGTGATTTTATTTCTGCAAGTCAGGTTTCCTCATTTTTGAATTATCTTTCCTGGTTTATTTGACTTGCTGATTTTTGCTTATGTGTTTTGTTTCTCCTTGCTCTTTGGGGTTTTCCGGTAATGTAAAGAAGGTGATATAAAATACTTAATTATCCTAAATATGGAACCACCTGAACAGTCCTGCAATATTTAAAAAAAAAAAAAAAAAAAAATCCAAAAAGATGTTGCCAAAGGCACCAGTGTGTGTTTGAGAGTAGAAAAGCGAAAATATTGGCTGTGGTCCATACTGTATATTACAAAATCTTTCTGACCATGGCATAAACATTGGTAATAGTATTCCAAAAACATTTGTGGATGTTTTGTTGAATATTTGACTATATGTCAGCCAGTACAGCGTGGATTTGGAGTTGGATGTGTATGTATGCATGTGGTACCTGTCCAGTTTTTGATAGGTGTTCAGAATATGGACTTGTCCACAGGCAATGAATCTGTAACTAATGTTTACTCAGAATTTCAATACTGCCCAGGATATTTATTTGAAATTTAAACCAAAAGTAAGGATTTGGGACAACCAGTAATTCTATCACAGTGCTCCTGCTTGTATTGCAGAATGGGAGGATGTACTGAAGAGAAACACCTTTTTTTTTTTAATTTATTTTTTTCCTTTTAAGTTTTAAAACTAATTTGAGTTTCACACAGTATATTTATCTGTGGCATGTAAAGTGTTTTATCTCCATATAGGAAGGCAGAAATTCCGAAAGCAGCTGAATTTCACTTCAATATTGGGGATGTCTCAAGTACTCTGTCCTTATTTATTCAGTAGACTAATGATTTGAGGTGTCTGTCATTCACCTTTATATTATATCAGGATATGAATAGGGGATGTGATATCTATTCAACTTAAGACTATATTTCCACCACCAAAATACAGTAATGTTTGTAATTAATAATAATAATGGTTGTGTTCTCAAAGGCACTCTGATTTGGTCTGTGATGTCATCGACTGCATTTTATTACAGATTCTTATCGTAGTAGCACACTCTGATTGAAAATTGTTCCAAACTGCACGTTGCTGCCCAGCACCACCACTTCATTGATCAATAGACAAGAGAATTTCTGCTCCCCTTAGTTATTCAGGGAGGCCTAGGAGCATGATGTTATTCAGTCTAGTTCCTGAGCAAAGTGTGTATTTCTCAAAACCTGTTGGACAAGCTGGCTTGCTGCATCAGTCTTCCTGCTGTTTGTTGTTTCCATAGTGTGCTCTGGAAAGCAGCAGGTAGGTTGCATGCCATTGTGCCAGGGGCTGTACAGATACAGGAAAAGTCACTCCTTGCCTCAAAGGCAGCTGAGTCAAAAAAGACAGCAGACATTAATACATCTTTTCCACTTTTTATTTTGTTCCCTGTAGTTTCTTCTGTACTCAGCATACTTTGTGCTGTACTTTCCTCAGTGTTTCTTCTTTTCCTCGCTCTCTCCACCCCCAGCTGCTGATGGTGTTATTCAGTTTGCAGTGGTAGTCTGTCCTCTATGCAGCTGGTTTTTTCTTACTCTCTCCCCAACAAAGCCAGGGCTCTTACAGGCTGTACTCTTCTAACTTACCTTGAGTTCTCTCCTATCTATTTGGACAAATATGAATCTGGAAGATTCAATTGAAGGCCCAATATGTGGTGAACTAAACACGGCAATCAGAGCCTGCAAGTGGATGAGAGGCAGCCGTGGTCAGCCCTTACAAAGTCAGTCTGCCTTCTTTTCCCCCCCCACAAGTCCCCAGGCTGATGCAATAAGGAGCTGGTGTGCATCTTTCCTTCCAGGTAGAAACCTCTGACTGCCTTTGGCTTCCCAAAGTGTACATGTGAGCTCTGTTTGGCTTTCCCCTTTTATTGATGTCCACAGACCTGTGAACAGGAGCAGTGCAAGTGACAGAACGTCTTGGGATATTTTGGTGCCCTGCTCTTTTTATACTGCTACATTTGAGTAGATCTTGGACAGGAAACTGATAACATGCTGGGCAGTCTGTATGCACAGTTTAGAAGGTCTCAGCCTGCATTTGCTGCTTGTGAATTCTTCTGCAGAACAATGTGGATTAATAAGTTTGGCGTTAATAAAAGCTTGCAGAGTTGAAAAGGTGTGGATATTAACTCCCTGAAGTGACCTCCTTCCTCTGTGCAAGTATTTTTGAGTTATTTTGGTTTTCTTGAAATCAAAGTTGCCGTTGGCATTTTCAATTGACCATATTTTAACATTGTCCTATATTGTTAGATAATCTATGCAAATCAGTGTAGATTTTTCTCATTATAGTCTCTGTCTCATGGTCAGGCATGCGTATAAAAATGTGTTGCTAGTTTGGAGGTAGGGGTGAGTTGGTCTACATGCAGAATGAAGTTTTTTCCATGGAAAATTACTTTTTAAAATGGAAGACAAATAGTGGTTTGTTGGTTGGGTTTTTTTCATTGTAGCTGTTATAAAATCAACAAAAATTAAACCAGTCCCTTTTAAACTCATTCTCAAAAGTCCAGTGTACATTCTGCCCTTTTTGGCTCAGGATACAAAAAAGTTGGTCTCTGTGGAACTTTTGTGTATGTTTTTCTCTGCTGACTGCACAATGTGAACTGTGTTTCTGAAGCAGTTAGTAAAGAGAAATTGAAATGACAATGCAGAAGCAGAGGTTTGCACTGTTCAGGTTTAAAAAAGTTTGAATCAAGGATACCTCTTTGTTATGGAAATGATTGTACTGTTTTTGTTCTCTTTTAGTTTATAAATGTTTAAACAATGTAGAGCAGTTTTATCTCTTCAATACTATCTAGCTTCTTTACTAAATATTAACTAACTGGTTTTCATTTAGCATGGTTAAACTGTAAGAGTGCTCCTGATTGCTGATGGTTGGTAGAACGTACTAAGAAGTAATGAGGGGGGGAGAAGATATAACACAAAGGAACAGGAAGATCCATGGTCACCATGATGGCAAGGGATGGTGTGAACACAGTCTTTTGCTAATGTCTTGAAGATTGAGTTGCAAAAGACAGATGAGACATGCTAGTGATTCTTATAAATTCAAAGGTACTATTGATTCCTTTGATTGTTATGTTGAACTACAATTTTAGCATTTAATGTAGAGGCAAATTGATGTAGAGAAGCTGAGGGCTTTACAGATCCTTAAGACCACTGCATTATTAATCTTACAACTGTTTCCTTTGTCATGAGGAACACTGAAATGAATTTTTAAATTCTAAACGACTGTTAAATATTAAATTAGAGGTCATCTGTGG